TTTTTAAAGAGAGATAGTTCTAAAACAAATATTTGAAAGAAAGAACAAATTTTGAGCAAAACCATGAAAATCCATTCAAGTCTTATTTGTTTGGAAAAGATCACTAACAAATGTAACAAGGAGTGTAAAAAATATGTTGTTTTTTCCTGTTGATACTTTTTAAAGAAATATCGTGTTTGTTAATTTCAAATTCATAAACATTATATATTTGTTTTTATCAGAATATTAAATAAAAAATTTTCAACACATTTCTTTATATCAATTGAAGAAACTAGTCAAAACACAAACTGAACACTTTTCTTCCTTTTTTTCTGCAGATTTCTATCATGGTAAGAAATTGTTCCAAATATAATATCCTAGATATGTTTATAAAACTTACTTAATTTTCAAGAGAGTTATTAATTTTTATAATTTTTATCGCTGCATGAACGTTTTTTACTGATGATAATTCATTTGTTTCTAGATTTTTTTGGTAAGTAATTAAAAGTTTCCATAAAATCTAAAGTTAAAATTTAAAGTTTTGGTGCTCGATATGAATCAACCACCTAAATCCTCCCAAAATCCTGAGTGATTTAAAATAAGAATTATCTAAAGACGATGATACAGGATCCTTGATAATTTTATAATTATGATCCCTGATAACGATAAAGAGGGAGATATTAAGCCTTTTGAATGGTTCTCTTGGTTAAGTATTAAAGCATAAACAAGACTATCAGCATTTTCAAAACCGAAAATAAGTAAAGGAACTGTAAGTAAATCGACGATAAGTTTAAAAAACGATTTCTCTTTCTGTTTTTGCATGTTTGCAGAAACTTTCATAAGTTGTAAGGGAATATTTTGTTCCATATTGTTCTATAGAATTATTGCAATGAGAAAATAAAGATCGGTGTTTTATTTTTATCTGCAAGACTCTGAAGCAAAATTGCAAAATACATTTGATTTCCTATTGGAATTGAAAGGCAAAGTTTGAAATATCAATTATCATCTTTTTCTCAATAATTTTTCCTGACAGAGCAGATATTATCTTAAAAGTAATGTATTTTTCTTTGCATTACAAAATTGTAAACAAATATTCGGAGTCAATAATAACAATAAACAATGACTTATTTTAAAAATTCAAAGCAGTAGTGCAGTGGTTTCTACTGTTTTTAAAATTTATCGAGAAAAGTGAAAGAATAAAAATTCATAACATGTACATTCCTGTTCATTGCATACAGAGTCAAAAAATATACAAGAATAGAACTACTGAGAACAATATTAAGAAAAAAAATTACATTTTATGTGCAGCAAATTGATTCTCATTGCATCGAATATAGTAATTGAAAAATATGAGCTATCTATTCAAAAAATTTATTTCATCAATCACAGTTAAAGTTTAATTTAAATAACTTCCAAGCAAAACGGGAAACTTTAAAAATATGTTGTTACCCTTAATTTATGCTTAACTTATTCATTTTAGTATTTTGTGAATGAATTCTTACCAAAAGTTATCAAGATTCATTTTTAACATACATTTTTAACATCTAATAATTTTTTTCACATAGAAAGTGAGTTTCCATATTTTTGTGATAAGAGAGTAAATTGGCTTTTGTATAAACAATTCTATGAATAAACAATCCTTTTCCACCTAAAGCATGCCTAATATTGTTTGTATTCTTGCATTCAACGAATATAATCTAAGATTTCAAAAAAGCCCACCCATCTTAGGATGGATACGTATCAGCTTGTCCATGAAGCATACAATTTGAAAAGAATTACCAAGAAATTATTTAAATAAGTATTTTTCTAGACAATCCCCTAATTCATACATAATTGTTAAACTATTTTATAACACTTAGTTGTGTCGTGTTACACTGTTCAAAATATTCTGTAAAATGGCACGAAGCTCATTTAATGTTAGAGGAATTAATTTTACATGCGCTATTTTGATTAAATCTGTAATAAGAGTGTCTAGACTTGTTCGAGTGAATGGTATTTTAAGTGTATCTGAAACTGTGACGAAATAATAGGGACTATGTCATGTAAAATAAATGCATAAACTTGAAATGAACATAATTTCAGTATACTGATAAATCTATAATCTGCAGTTCTAGTTAATATATTATAAAATATTGATTTTTCCATGAATACGGCAAAAGCAGGATTTCATAATTTTTAAATATGTTTTTTCGTTTTATTTATTTGTTGTACGGATATTTTAGTATTTGGTATCAGAACTCCGCACTCCATAATAAAGTGACAAAATAAGTATCAGAATGTGGTAAAGTTTACCGTATTTCTGGTTCTATTGGTGCATGGAAGAGCAACATACCTTTTACTGAAGCACTTTGGTAATGACTGTCAGGTTATTAACAATAAAATATAGTTCTATTACAATGCTGTTTGGTAATTAATGTAGGGAAATTCCATAATTTTATCATGGTAATAATTATGCTTTCATGCTTTGATCAGTATGGCATGAAAACTATTCTTGCCAGTTTAGTATTTTCACTTAATGTGTCTTAATAAGAACAGAAATTTTTAAAACCGAAAATACTGGTTAGAATTATCAAATTATAAACTCAATACCTGATTAGAATTAAAACATTTCCTAATACGTTTAAAAAATTATTTAAAAAAATCATTAATAAAACGCATTTTTTGGCCTTTTCGTCATGTAGAGGTATTTTCTTTCAAAAAAAATCTGATGCTTTAAAGACTGCACATGTTATTACTTATACTAAAGAAAAACTATTCAATTTCCCAACGCACTTTTCGAGTTTTATGATAACTTTACTGGTTATCAAAGAAAAATTACAAAAATAGAGATAACTCTCTCTCAAAAAAAGCCAATTAAATTTGACAATGCCACGAAATAAAAATTTCTAAGCAAAACTGCAATATGCAAATTAGTAGGGTCGTAATGGAATGGCAACACTTGCTATACGCATTCAATTGTATGTTTGATTTCAAGTCTGCGAATTTTGCTGTGTTTCGAAAATAAAAATTTAGAGTTAGTCAAATTGTAACTATGACTACCAGGCAGCGCTTGCCCGAAGAACAACGGTAAGATGTATTGGAAGATTAGAGGCAGTACAATGTCAGAGTCCACAGGACTAAATGTGGCTCATAGAAACCCTCTGCGTTTCATAGATTTTGGTAACAATTTCTAACTACTGATTCTGAATCCAGACAGTTCAGCCCAGGACGGCAAATGCTATAAAGAGTGCCGCTTACCGATATTTATTGTTATGTGCATGAATGAAAGGAATCGGAACTCAGAGTCAGCTCAGATCCTCTTTTTGTGAAGTTACCGGAAGATTGGCGTTAACCTCTACTGCGCATAGAAGGTTTCACTAACGAGGGTTGCAAACCAACCACCAGTGTGCGTGAGGTGGACGCAACAACATGTCTACTGGAAAGCTAACTATTGGAGTACTGTTCACTTCATAGATGAGTCCAGGTTTGCCCTCCAAAGTGTTAGTATACGTTGCATGATTAGGAGTGAATCTGGAACCTGACATCATTCACAAACACCCATGAAACAAGTGCATACCAAGAAGGAAGTGTCTATGGGTGGTGGCATCTCTTTGGGTGGATGCACAGATATGCATATCTTTTTGCGCGGAACCCCGAATTCTCACGTACATAAAGATGATATTTTTGATGTTTATGCGCTCCCTTATGCTGGTGCAACAGGACGTTTACACAACGCTGCACAGAGTTTGAATCGTGGATGATTATCTTCAGTAGCAAACAATTCAGGGCATGGAGTGCCATCGGTATTGAATCCTATCATACATGTTTGGTATGCTTTAGAAAGATGTGTAGCTGCTCTCAATCTTTCTCTTCAGACCCTTGTCGGACTTGCAACTGCTTTGCAGCAATAATGACTCACAATTTGAATGGAACTGGTTGGCCACTAACTTGAAAGAAAGCATCACACATTGCTGTATAATTGCTAATGGTGGGTACACTCCTTACCGAAAGGACTTTTTCTATTCCGAGCTGACAAATAGGATTTATTCATTTCATACATATGGTGAATTTTGTAGCACCATAATGGTTTGGTTAATACTTTTTATGTCTTTTAGACATTATATTGTGTGCCAGTTTCATTTAATTCTTGTTGTAAATTTTTGAGTTATGGTCATTTTTCTGATTTTTCCTTAATTTATTATAATCAGGGTAAATAAATTGCTTAAAACTAGAGTGTTACCGCAAAATGTTTTTAGATGAATGTATTTGTTTTTTATTTTCTAGACTATTAAAAAATCTTTCTACGAGATAAAAATGGCTGCTTTTTTCTTATAAATAAAATAAAATAATCTCATACATTAAAATTTATTTCGTTTTTGTTAAATAGGTGTTATTTTTGTTTTCAGCTTTTTATACGTAAATATTAAATGAAGGAATTAATCAGTAGCCTGATATATTCTTCAAAATAACATAGCTTTGACAATTGTTGTTTTTTCCTTTTGTAATTGAAAATTTGACCTGCATAATTACCTTTTATAATTAGCTTCTAAAATGACATTTCCTATGCAAAAAGGCATTGAATATTCTAATGGTGATTTTTATGCCAATTAACACTGGAGGAATTAATATTGAGACCGTGTTATTTTGTTATACCGATATAGTTTAAATTCAAGTGAAGCTAAGTTTGAAAACATTTTTGATCACTTTTTAGGTCACTAAATTAACAGGATGAATATTTAAGTAATGCTAAAATTAAATATTTAAATATTGACATAGTGTTTTAAGTAAAGCTGGTAAAACGTTTGCATATATTATTATTATTTTAAGTGATCATTTAATCATTATTTTAGACAGACATAACTGTGTATATTCTTGGTAAATAAAGCATTGCTCTTACTATGAACAATTTCTTCTGGTTGATCTAAGATTGAAATTACGTAAAAATATAATAATAAATAATAGCACTTTTAAAACATGTCTACAAAATCAGGTAAAAATAATTACAATTTTCATTAATTTCTATTATCACATTTTATGCAAATTTACGTAATTTTCTCTTCATTCTATAGATGGGCCTACACCACCAGGTAAAAATAAATAACTCTTTTAAATTTTCGTGTTTACTTTTTTTACACATTTTAAAATTTTAACAATGTAAACACCAGGTGAACAATAATTAAGCCTTTTTTTAAATTTTTTGTGATAACTTTTCTGTGTATTGAAGTTATTTAATTTTCATTTTTTAGAGAAGTCTACAACACCAGGTAAAAACTAGTCGCTCATAATTCTATTGTTTTTTGGAAATCTCTTTGCTTCAAATCAAATTCACTTCATTTTCATTTTACAGAAATGACTACAACACCAGGTATATTATAGCAACACTCGTTTAAATTTTTTGTGGTCACTTTTCAAACATATTTAATTCACTTTAATTTAAATTTATATTGATGTCTACAACATCAGGCAAATATTAAATACCCTTGTCTAATTCTTTTTCATGATAATTCTCCGTACAATTTTTATCCTCCCTTTTTTCTTTCATAGAGATGTCTACGACACCAGGTAAATAATGATATCTTTCGCTACAATATTTTTATCATTTCTTATTCAACTTTCATTTAATGCTTACTATTTATTTTTATTTACTTTAATTTGATAGAGATGTCTACAACACCAGGTAAACACTTATCAGTCAAATTATTATTATTATTTTTTCCTTGTTATCACTTTTTGAAACTTTTTTTATATTTCACTTTCATTTTTCAGAGATGTCTACAACACCAGGTAGCCCCCTTTATTGCTTCTTCGTTATCACTTATCGAAAATGTTTTTATATTTTATTTTCATTTCATAGGGATGTCTAAAACTGCAAAATATTCTAATATCCTTTAATTAATTTTTTGTAATAATTCTTTCTACTTATTTTTATCTCCTTTTTTTCCTCATAGAGATGTCTACGACACCAGGTAAATAATAATCACTTTGATTTTAATTTCTTTCATTTTACGTATTTACTTTATCGTCATTTTATAGAGATGTCTACAACACGAGCTAAATACTGATCACTGTTAATATCTTTGTTTCGTTATCAGTTTTTGAACAATTATTTTTATTTCAATTTTTATGGAGATGACTACGACACCTGATAAATACTAGCCATTTTATTATTTTTTTCGTTATTTTTTATTTTTTTTTAATTTTATTATCTTTTCATACAGATCTAAAACACCAGTAAAATATAATTGACTCTTATTTTGATTTTTCGGGATAATTCGTTGTATTAACTTTAATCTCCTCTTTTTCCTTCATAGAGATGTCTACAACGCCAGGTAAATAATAATCATTTTCCATTTAGTTTTTTATCACTTTTAGTTTTTTATCATTTTATTTTGTTATTATTACTTCGCAAATTTTTAATTTTGGTTTTCTTTTAAAGAGATGTCTACAACACCAGGTAAGCTCCAATCACAATTATTAAATTGTTAGCTACCACTTTTTTTACAAATTTAAAAAATCAAGACTTTTTAATGTTATGCAGAGATGTCAAAAACACCAGTTAAAAATTAATCACGCTTGTTTTATGTTTCCGTAGTCTTTTTTTACCCACTTTTAACTCGTTTTCTTTTCATTTTATAGAGATGTCTACAACACCAGGTAAACACTATTTACTTGTGTTTGAACTTTTTGTTGTCAAATTTTTTTCTTACAAATTACATAATGTAATTTTTATAGAGGTGTCAACAACACCAGGGAACTAGTAATCTTTCCTCGTAAAGTTTTTTTTTCCCTAAGCACTTGTTTTAAAGTATTGAGCCATTTTATTTTCATTGTATAGAGATATCTACAATACCATTAATCAACAAATATTTATATCACCTATTTTAGTTTTTCATTACCATCTTCTGTTCATAATAATACCGTTTTTATCATTTCATAGAGATGTCTACAACACCAGGTAAATAATGATTCCTTTTGCTTTTTTTCTTCATAATCCTATTTTGCTTAAGGTTAGGTCATTTCATTTTTATTTTATAGAGATGCCTACAACACCATTTAAATACTAATCCGTGTTGTTTAGATTGCTCCTGACTTTTTTATCAAATTTTATGTCATTTTTTTCTATTTTATAGAAATGTCTACAACACCAGGTAAACACTAACTAGTAAATATTTATCTCGTCTATTTTAGTTTTTCATTACCCTCTTTTTGTGATAATAAGACTGTTTTTTTTTTTTTCATTTTATAGAGATGTCTACAACACCAGGTAAATAATGATTTCTTTTAATTTTATTTTTCATAATCATATTTTGCATAAGCTTAAGTGATTTCATTTCTATTTTATAGAGATGTCTACAACGCCAGGTAAATGCTAATATTTTTTTTTCAGTTTGTTCCTAATTTTCTATTGTACAACTTTGTGTCACTTTATTTTCATTTTATAGAAATGTCTACAACAACAGGTAAATACTGACCAGAAAATATCTATCTCATCTATTTTAGTTTTTCAATTTTTCTTATGATATTCAGACAGTTAACTTTTTTTTCACTTTATAGAGATGTCTACAACACCAGGTAAATAATGATTTCTTTTAATTTTATTTTTCATAATCATATTTTGCATAAGTTTAAGTCATTTCATTTCTATTTTTTAGAGATGTCTACAACACCAGGTAAATACTAATAATTTTTGTTTAGTTTGCTTCTGATTTTCTATTCTGCAACTTTATGTCACTTTATTTTCATTTTATAGAAATGTCTACAACACCAGGTAAATACTAACCAGTAAATATCTATCTCACCTATTTTAGTTTTTCAATACCGTAATCTTATGATATTCAGACAGTTAACTTTTTTTTTCATTTGATAGAGATGTCTACAACACCAGGTGAATATATATTCCCCTTTTTAATTTTTCTTCACTTTCAATTCAACATGCAAGCAATTTAACTTTATATTATAGAGATGTCAACAACACCAGGTAAATACTAGTCATTCGTATTATTTATTTTCGTTATCCCTCTTTGAATAAATTTGGTGAATTTTTTTATGGAACTAAGATGTCTGAGGCACCAGATGCACTAATGAAGTTATTTTAACTTACATCTATCTCCTTTTGCTCAAATTTCTATTTATTTTTATTTTATAGAACTATCTACCACACCAGCTAAATATATGAAAAATTTTACACTAATTTCTCATTATTAATTTTCATACAAATTTAAGTCATTTTTTTTCCGTTCATAGAGATGTCTACAACACCAGGTAAGCCCTTTTCTCTTCAGTTTTAATTGTTTCGAGAATTTATTTTCCTTTACAAATTTATGTATTTTTTATTTCTTTAGAGATGTCTACAACTCCAGGTAAATTAATTCACATTTACTTTAATTTTTAATAAACAAGTTTTCTATAAATTTTAGTCATTATGATTTCATTTTATAGAGATGTCTACAACACCAGGTAAATAAAGATCTTTCTTATTTAGTAGTATGTATACAGTTCTCCGTTGGCCCAAGCTTTCTTTAACATCTCCTGTTCTGTTCTCCTCTTTTTCTCTTTCCCAGGGTGTATCATTTCATTACTCTCGGTGCTTTACAGACATTTATAAGAGATGGAGTGAAAAACTGAAATATTTTGATTATTGAAAAACTGTAGTTTTCGATAATTGGAAATCATACATTCTAAAAATTTTATAAATGCTAGTATATCACTCTTGATTTTTTTTCTTTTGCACTATCTTCATTTTTTGCAAAAGCATTTCAGAAAACAATACATTTCTGAAATTTCAAAACTTCACAACTGGTTTCCTACCTTATCGGGAAAAAAATTATTTCATAAAAAATGTTGTTAAATGAAATATTGAATGTGTTATTTTTCAAAATTTATCTAGAAAATTTTTTACTGACTGCAACAGCTGTAGAATTTCAAATTTTTACAAAAAATATTACATTTTTTATATTATCTTTTAACCATTTACAAAACATCAAAGAGAAATAAATTACTCTTGTGTATTTATGCCCATTAATTTTTCTAAATATTTTTGGTGCTGTTTCCTCTTTTCATAATTCCAAATACTGAATTGTTTTAGTATTCAAATGGCTTCAAATTTATAGTTAGTTCGTGTGGCAATTAAAACGCAACTTAAAAAAGACAGAGAGAGAGGGAGGAAACCACAGAGTGAGAACAAAGTTTAAAGAAGCATACATTTACATATGGTATAAAATCACGCTGGAGCAGAAATATCTGCCATCAAAAAAAAAAGTTGTTATTTAATTCGCTTGTTATATTAGTATAATTTATATCACTTAATTTTTTATATGATTTCCAGCAAATTAAAATTTTGAAAGAGAATTGTTCTCTTAATTTTCACAAGTCCCAGAAATCTTAAACTAATTTTATTTGTCTTAACATTTGCATCAAATAATATACAAATGTCTTTAAATTCCAGAAATGACAACAACGCCTGGTAAAACTATTTAGAATTTAGAAAAGAACTTTTTTGCCTGCCTATTAAAACATTGAAATCATTTTAAATTCCTTTTTTATTTTGCAGAGATGTCTACTACCCCAGGTAAGATGATTCCTAATTTTGTCAATTCAGATCCAAAATTTTATTTATTAAGTTTAAAAAGTTTGAAAGTTTTATTATAATATGTAACTTCTTCATAAACGCATTTCCACAACATCCCTCTCTAGGCAACAGGTTAATTAAGGTTGTAGATCTATAATTTTATGACAGACGACAACAACTCCGTTTAAATAAAAAAAAAACTGCATTTTAGTTTTCAGAAGCTTCTGAAAACTTCTGAAGAATGTATAGCGATTTAAATTAATTTACAACTACAAAGACATATTAATGAGATAACCATTTTACTTAGCAGAAATATCAGCCACAACCAGTAAAGCAAGCCAGTTATGCTACAAACTACTACTTACCATCAAAATTTCCTTAAATTATTAGGGGTATGATTAGTCATAAAATTGTTATTAGTCATAGTGCGGTGCACTATTAAAAATGAAAGCGTAACTTACTTGAAGTGTGACTAGTACCTAACAATTTGTTTCCAAACTTATATATTGCACTCTGAATTATATCGGCATGTTAATTTCATTATAGATATATTGACCATAGGGCAGTAGCGCAATGTTTAAACATAACATGTAATAATCAAATCAGGATCCGCTTTCAATTATTACATAAAACCACGTAATCAAGTAAAAAGAAATTTATGAAAAGATGAAAAATCTAATTAATGTCATCCATTGTTCAATATTGCATTTAAAAGTTGTCGAATATTGCTTGAAATTACGCATCAAAACGAAATAGTTAATACTGATAAATTATATTCGCATAAAAAAGCGTAATCAGTTATTATGGTTACTATCAGAATAAGATTAATAAAAACAATTAATTACATTTTGATCCGCACTTTTGGTACCTGTAGATTCAATATTTCGCTCATAATCTTTTATACATATTTTTTTAAATTTTATTTTACTTATTTAATTTTTTACTCGGAGATACAAAATTTGAATGAAAAAAAGCACTCATCCTCGTACATTAGAAATTTCTTATATTTCATAGAACTTATTTAAATTGTTTTTAATTAATATATTTCGAATTTAATTATAAATTATTTATGAATTATATTTAAATTTGAGTTATAGGATTCGAATTTACAATATACCTTCGATAACCTAAATATTCATTAAAAACATTTTTGAAATATTTTATTTTCAGTGAAATACTTTTTTATGTGCGACATTCACTGATTAACAAACTACATCGTAATTTTTTAGAAATGTCAAATACACCCGGTTAGTTTCATTTTAAATGTAATACTTAATTTATTTTATGTAATTGCAATGGCTTATAATGTTTATTTTATGAAATTGCAATGACTTATAATGGTTATTTTATGTACTTGCAATGATTTCATAATAACATATAAATTCAATTATATCATATAATTCATATCATAACACATAAATTCAATCATAACTTTTTAGAAATGTCTACTACTCCTAATAAATTAAATTTTAATTGTAATACGTAATTTATTTTACATCCAATTCCAACATCCAATTACTCACAAATTCAATCATAAACTTTTTTAGAAATGTCTACTACACCTGGTAAGTTTCATTTTAAATGTAATTCTTAATTTATTTTATGGGCGACATCCAATGACTTATAAATTCAATCATAAATTTTTAGAAATGTCTACTACACCCGGTAAGTTTCATTTTAAATGCAATGCTTAATTTATTTTATGTAAATGTACTGACTTATAAATTCAATCATAACATATAAATTTAACCATAACATTTTAGAAATGTCTACAACTCCAGGTAAATTTGATTTTAATTTTAATACTTAATTTATTTTATGTGCAACATCCAATTACTTACAAACTTAATCATAACGTTTTTAGAAATGTCAACTACACCTGGTAAGATTCATTTTAAATGTAATACTTAATTTATTTTCTTTGTATTATCCAATTACTTACAAATTCAATCATAACTTTTTAGAAATGTCTACTACTCCTGGTAAATTTAATTTTAATTGTAATGCTTAATTTATTTTATTTTATATGCAATATCCAATTACTTACAAATTCAAAACTTTTTAGAAATGTCTACTACACCCGGTAAGTTTCCTTTTAATTGTAATACTTAATTTATTTTATGAGCAACATCCAATGACTTACAAATTCAATCATAACTTTTTAGAAATGTCTACTACACCTGGTAAGTTTCATTTCAAATGTAATTCTTATTTTATATCATACAAATTCCAATGACTTACAAATTCAATCATAACCTTTAGAAATGTCTACTACACCCGGTAAGTTTCTTTTTAAATGTTCTACATTGTTTATTTTATGTGCATCATTCAATGACTTATAATTTCAATTACAACTATTTAGAAATGTCTACTACACCCGGTAAGTTTCATTTTAAATGTCATACTTAATTCATTTTATTTATAACATCCAATGACTATCAAATTCAATCATAACTTCTTAGAAATGTCTACTACACCTGGTAAGCTTCATTTTAAATTAATATTATGTTTTAAAATTTAGCTTTCTTTAAATTTTGGAAAACATTAATAATTAAAAAAATTTGATACAAATCTACATCTAACCTATTTAGTCAATTCAAGATAAGTATTACTATTAAGCATGACAAAATTTCTCGGAGAATTGCGGTTTTAATTAAACAGAGCTGCAAGTCAGCAAAATTCATTGATATTTTCCTTGAAATATTTAAATGGTAATCCAAAGATTTATTCTGAACTTTGAACTAATAATTATTCATTGAAATTACTTTATTACAATGCTTAGTGAAAGTTTCTTCTTGAAATACAGGTACCATATCATCTACAAATAATTAAAGGAAATGGTTGATATTTTGTTTTGAAGATCTAACACTTTACATTTAAAATTTAATGCTTCTATAAAATTTTTATTTAATTATGCACGATTATATTTATAGTATCAGTGAATGATACATTCTGTGACTTACAATGCATAAGTGTCTTTTCATTCTTAAATTCAATGTCAAAATTAAATGTCTTCTTCTTACTTAATTTCAAAATCTGCATGCATATAGCATATCATTGAAACCATCTGATTATATTTACTTTTCAGTTTTTTACTAACTGTGTAGAAATAGAATTATAATTTTGAAAATCAGAATTTCCGTTAAACTGTAATCATATGATCAAAAAAATTACCAAATCAATAGATAATAACTAAATAGTAAATTACTTAGTTCACATTATTTTACAGAAATGTCAACAACACCCGGTAAATTTAAAAATTTTTTAGAAATTCCTATAAAATATATTGCGATTCACAAAATATAAATTTTAAGGAGATTTCTTGAATTTTGAGAAAATCTTGAAGGGACAAAAACTTTTTAGACTTAGAAAACTTACGTTAATAGTTATTATAAATATTGTTAGTGAATAAATTACAAGTTTTCTGACTGAATTCCAGCATAAAATACGACTTGGTTTGAATTTCAAGTAATAATTAAATTTGAATTTCTTTTTCCCCATATTTTCCATTCCTTCGTTTGGACGAATTTATCCGTAGTGAAATATTTATAGCAAATATTTCAATAATATGAAAAATTACTATTTTTACTTATCATAGGGTAATAATTACATCAAAAGTCTTAAATTTTATCCTAAATATAAATTTATAATTTTTTTTAAAAAATTGTTATATAGTTAAAAAGTAATAGTGAATGACAACAAGATATGAACTTAGGACCTTAACTTGACAAGCGTTTATTCTAACTAAAAGAAAAATCACTCTCTAACTAACTAAAACAAAAATCACAACAGTACAAATGATTTTCAAAATCCGATAAATCTGATGTTTCAGAATGCAGATAGCTGGGACATGATTGGGAAGAAGCAGTTTCGTGAAACAGTGTTGTTCCGTTTTGGGGAATGTGCTTTGATTGCATGAGAACATAATACTCAACTTAAGGATTTCTGAACTCACAGAGATCAGAATTTATTTTCTATTTTTAAGTGTATTACTAAGCGTATCACTTTAGTATTAAGTAAAATATATTGCCGAACTTTATAGTGACTTAAGAGTTTATCTTTTGTAAATACAAGACTAATTTTAATAATGTGCACAGTGGATTCTCAAACACATCTGAAATTTTTTCGCAAGAGTTAAATGTTAATCGTATGACTTTTTAAAAGAATTTATAGTTATAATTAAAACTAAAGTCACCTTATTTATTTATATTTTTTATTTTACAGAGATGTCTACAATTCCTGATAAGCCTTTTAGTTTTATCAATACAATAAACATTTTAAAAATTATTTTGAGCCATTTGTGCGTTTGAGAAATTCAATAACAAAAAAAAAAGTTCGAAATAAAATTATAATAAGTCATGAATCTCCACATCTAAATTATTTTTTTTCCTATTCCTCTTTCCACAGTACCGAACACAGAAGTGTTTCTTTTAACCAAGCTTGTTCTTGAAATTAGTAATAGTATTAGAAGGTTTATGAAAGTGCAACCAAAAGAGGAAAAAAAACAGAAAGTGAGAAAACCGAAGATTAAATTAAAGGTTCCCAGAAGAAACTATAGTAGTTGATTTACAATTCCTATAAAACTAGAATGGATAATCTAATTTCATAATAAAGAAAGCTAACTCCATTAATTTGGTCAATTGAACCCCAAGGATTCTGCTAGCTATAGTGAACCATCTTACACTTGAAAATTGTCCTAGTGCTTAACAAAGCCATATATGGTGGGTATTTATCGGAAGAAACTGTTTAGTTTATTTTCATTGAGCATTTTTGGTCTGTACTGAGAATATCAAAAGTCGCATTACTATCAGTGAAAGGATTAGAAAAATAAAATAACATTTTATGAAACAGATATCAACTGCCCTTAGTTTATATGAAGATAAATTTCATGTTAAGCTATTTGGATTTATATTCGCGTACGATTTAGGAAAACATTTCTGTCAATATTATATTTTAAAATTTATAAAGATTTAAACTACACTTAGAACATACAAAACTAAGGCTGGATATTTGATTTTTTATTCCTATACAGTTAAAGAAGACTATATGTTTGTTGAAAATATCACATTTTAAAGAGTTCATTGAGATTTGAACTGTATTTAGTTCATAAAACTTTAACTGGATAATAGACAATTTATTCCAAAATGATTTAAGAGCACTCTTTTCTTAACTTTACGTTCTTTTAAGAAATACTATATCACATACTATACATTTTTATGATTTAACTAATATTTTTTGCCGAAATCTTTGCCTTTTTGCCTTGTTTTTTTAATTTCTTTTGTGGGAACAACATCAGTTTTAATGCATAATTTGTAATATAGTTCACAACTATTTAAGAGTTTGCAAAAAAGAGCATAACTCCAATTTCGTCTTATATCTACAGCATGATGTAAAGAAATATGCAAAAAGCGAAGTCTTTTTTTATCGTTTCATATCAAAATTTACAAATTTAATCTAACATTAAAGAATTTATATTAATCGTATCAAATAATGAAATCAATATTAAACAATTAAATGCCATAATTATCAACAACGAATGTCAAATACTTATAAAATATTTATAATTCTAATAAAAATCTCTTTACTTATGTTATTTTAGTAAAACATTAAAATTATTCCATATTACCTTTGCATTTTGTAGAGATGTCTACTACTCCAGGTAAGATTTTAAAAATATTCAAGTTCAAATTCATCTAGTTTTGATGACTTTCAACATCATCCTGGTAATACTATTTTCAAACTATATTTATTGCGTGTAAAAATTTATAATGTGTACAAATGTACTATTCTAAACTATAATTTCTTATAACTTCTATATAAAAACATTTCCGCAACATCCGCTGTAGGCTAAGGGGTTCATTGAGATTGAGGTAGCACAATTTGCGAGATCAACGGCAGGATTGTGGCAATATGGTCAGAATTGCTTACAATGCCGCCTTTACTTCCCAGACAAGCTGATTCTCCTTCATCACGAATATGTATATATTTTTCCAAATCAGCAATCACGTAAAAACTAGCAAATGATTCTATCACTTTTATCTTTATAGAAACGACAACTCCTGGTAAGTGAAATATTCAATTTCAGCTGGGATCACTTAGAAAACTTCTAAAGAATGTATAGCAATTTAGTTTTATGATTATTTTATTACAACAAAACAAAATGTAAAGAATTATAAAAATACCAGCAACCAGTAAGTCGTGATATTTATAGTATAAACTACTTCTTCGTTATATATGCTATAAGGTATATGCAAGTGATGCAAATTATGAGAGGCTCAAATAGTCATAGTTAGTTATTAGTCATAGTGTAATGTACCAGGGGGGACACTAAAGTAATTACAAAATATTGTTATAACGATTGATTATGTTAGAGATTAGAAGTGCAATAAACTTTTGCTGTTCCGCTTCTTATTAAATTTAATTTATGATAAGGCAATAAATTAAGTCTGCTGAAAATTTCAGTTGCCTGTAGATTCAAGATTTGGTTTATATTTATTATTTTATTTATTTATTTATTTGTTTGCTCTTAATAAGTTCGAAATTCGGATTTTCAGAACTACAAATCTTCTACAAATACGAAGCAGCATTTATATAATATGCTTTATTTTTTTAAAATTATATTCAATGAGTTTGTATTTTATGTAACTTTCAATAAATTACAAATTTGTTCATTATTTCTTAGAAATGTCTACTACCCCCGGTAAGTTTTATTTTAAAAAAGCAAGACTTATTTTATATGCGACTTCCAATTCCACAATTGATCTGTATGATTTTTTCAGAAATGTCAACTACACCTGGTAGGTTTTACTTCAAATGCAACACTTATGTTTATTTAAAATTAGGTTTTAAATTTGATTTTAAACAACATTTTAGTTTATGAACATAATTATCATTAAGTTAAACTGCTCTAATGTAGTTACAACGCTTTTGAAAAAGTATATCCATCTATCTATCTATCTATCTATCTATCTATCTATCTATCTATCTATCTATCTANTAGATCATAAACGTAATCAACTTAAAGTAATGCCATGTATATATATATATATATCTTTAATTTTCTAATAATTACCACAATATTATTGATTTGAAGAGTAAAATACTGTTTGAAGCAGAGAAACAGCTATATAGAATATACAATTTTAATTTAATCCCTCAATAACTTTTTCCTTACTTTCGTTATGTAGAGTGCACACAAATACTTCCATGTTAATTAAAGTTTAAAAACTGTGAGTTAAAAATTGTGTTAGTGTTTTAAATAACTTTCCATAGTGTTCTTTTGTGTAGACATCAGCAATATTATTCGATAAATAGTATTTTTGTCATGTATTTATTTCTTCCTGTTGTTTCGTAGCGTATTTATTGCAAGGGCACAGTTTTTGATAGAACTCTGAATTCAAGCATCACTGACAGCGGTCAGCGAGCTGGTGTGTGGCTATTTTGATCAATCTACTTAGCAATGGTGGGCTGTATCAGTCCCCGTGAAACATTTCAATCGTGAAGTACTCAACTTAGCACGCGGATCATCGGGATACCAAAGGAGGGGAGTTGTCCCCATCGCACAGGATTAAAATTTTAATGGTATGTCATAGGATAATCCTCCCGGATTTTCAGGATCATCGCATTGTGTATCTCTAGTGCATGGGTAAAATAACTACGATATAGTTGAAAGTAAAAAAACTATGACCTCTACTATATTTCTCGGTTCATTTAATTATGTTACACGGTAGATTTTATCACAATCAATGAAGATGCTACTAGAAACTACATTGATAGTTTCATGAAAAACAATTATGTAGAAATCATAAGTAATAACTCTTATGTGATAAAATCTTCGGTTAGTTTATTATGTTTAAAGGTTCATGTCAATCACAGTAACGTGCATTATATAGAGATGTGTTTTAAGAATAAGAAAATAATGAGAATTATAAATTTTTTAATTAAATTGCTTGTATACTTACGTGTCAAGAAGAAATGCATTTTTTTCTATTGCTTCTCGACACTTTTTTAAGAAAAAACCTCCGGATAAAAAATTAAATAAAAGCATAAAGATATAAACTCGTCATCTAAGAAGTAGTTGAATCCATTTTCACAGTGATTTGTTGAAGTAGTATGACGAAAAGTACTTTAATTTTGTCATATTTTGAAGAATAAATATGCTACTCTTTGTTACAATTCTTAACGTTTGAGGGAAAAACCTTCATGTATTCCATCGTGCATATAATGAGTGATATCTGTTGTTAGATTTAAGTGAAAAATTGATTTTCAAACGCCCCTCTAAAATGCACTGACTCAAATTTATGGACGACTTTTAAAATTCTTAGCTGACAGTTTAAATTTGTTGACTCTAGGCATAACTGGTTCAGAAATTGACACACAGTTGACATCAGGCACACACAAACTTTTCTTTTTATTACTAGACACTGTTTCAAATTTCGCGGCAAAAATGGTTAAATAACTATTTATTTCATTGTTAAATCCAACCAAAACAGTCAAATAACCATAAGAAGATGATATTCAAAATGTTAAGAGTCGGAAAAAAAAACTTATTGATAGTTTTTTCATAATTCCGTTCAACAACCAGAATTGTATCCGCGCCAACTAGGAACCACCTTATGAACACATTTTGATCTGCGCAGCTGTGTACATACAGGGGCTGAAAGCTAATGGTTGACAATCTCAGCTGTCAATGTCATAATCAGCAGAACAGGGGGTCGAATCTCAGCGCTGATGCTACCATATTTCATTTATACCTTCAATACATTAAGAGTTTTGAGTGTTCTGGACTCTTCAAACGTTGACCTTGGGCTAATAGAATACGAAATTATTATTCAGGAGTAAATGGGGCATTCACCACAAAGTTCTAATTCTCAATTAAGTTTAGTTTTAATGGTTTGAAAACTATGCTAGTTGTAAACGGTAACAAAACCGAAACAGTTTTCGTTTCACGGCTTTTTAACCAGACCAGTTGTAAACGGTTTCAAAACCATAATGGTAAAAAAAAAAACATGTTCCAAAACATAAATTATATGGTTAATCGGATGGACAGACTGCTGCCGTTCATTTTACTGTAATTTTAGATTGAAAACTCTTACAGTGTAGATGTAAAATATACTTTTATTTTAAACGTAACCTTTATATTTGTATTAGAAGTAAGATTTACACACAATTCCTATTACTTATAAAATTTTCTTGGCGGTTTAGAAATGTCCACAACACCCGGTAAGTCTTATTTGACATCTGATACTTATTTTCATTAGTCTGAATTTTCATATCTTGTCTAACAAGTAAAAAATATTTTCTAACTGATTGAAGAAAACATAAATCATTTTCCTGCTTATGTAAGAATGTGTACAATTCATTTTTAATAGAAAGCCAATTTTCTTTTGATTAAAGCCATAGTGTAGTCGAATTAATTACGAAGTCAATAGTAATCGCAATCAAAATATACACATTTAATAGTTTATTAATCTAAGTAATGAGCAACATGAAGAAAACAAAATTATATCAATTATTATAACTAATCATTATTTTCTTGCTTAAAATTTTTGTTAAAAGATTAATATAATTTTTAAAAAAGGAAATTAAATAAGGATAGCCAGCGTTATATTTGTTTACAGAGAGTAGAAGAGTTGAATTATAAGAGAAAGTGTAAAACTTTTAATTATCGCACTATATCTCATTCACAATAACATGTTTTTTAAATAAGACATTAAGTTATAACAGTTTTCTTTAACTTTTTTAATGAAGTCGTAATTATTATTTTTAATTTTGAAATATCAGAAGAAACATTTGCAATATTAATCTCTCTTATTTTTTTAACCCCTTTCTAAACATTCAAAATGTTGTGGGAAGTATTAGTTATCCAATTTTTTCAAAGTTTCTTAAAAAACTATTTCTGGCAAAATATAATGTTCATACGTTTTTTTTCAATATTTTATAGAAATGTCAACTACACCCGGTAAGCATGAAAAAAATATTACATTTTCGCATCTTTTGTAAATATATTACCGTACCAGAAATACGACATTTAATAGAATCTAATATAAGGAAAACTTCAGAAGTGCAGAATTCTTGAGCTCTGAAAAAACCTATGTTCATTATTATTGCAAATATTATAATAAAATATCTTTTAGATTACGCTTCCAATAGAATTCGAACTTAGCTTGAATGAATTAGACTGGCTTAGTTTGAATTTATCATAATACTATAATTTAACTCTTTAAATTGATTTTTTTAAGTGTCAGCAAAATATTTCATTATTGAAAATCAAATCTCTAGTAATCATAAAATTAATAATAAAATCTTTAATTTTTAATTGAAAAATTCTAAAGAATAATTAAAATTTGAATAGTTTTATTTAAATGAAGTATTTATTGTCAATGCTTAAAATTTTTTACTTCACGAGAAAACGTAAATATTTATCATTTGAACTTATCATAGATTCAAATAATTTTTTGAAGGTATCACATCAGATTTTAAAACATTTTCAAGTGAAATCTAGGCTTAACGGATAAAAAAGTATCCGCTTATGAATTTTGCGTTTACGGGAAGGGTACCCCAAGTTTAACACCCTAAATTGTTTTTTGAATATTTTCAAAGATATAGATAAATTTATCTACAAGGAGAGATATCTAAACTTTAAAAAATATTTTTTGATCAGAAATAATGTATAAAAACTTTTGATATAAATATATAGTTCTAGATGTAGCTGCAGATCAAAGAAAATAATTAAATAACTGTGTTAAACACAGTCTTCAAATTGATAAGAAAGTAAAAGATATTTTCGGTGGGAAAGGAAAGTGATTGACTTAGCACGCGAATCGTCGGGCTACCAAAGGAGGGGAGATGTCCCCTCCGCTTAGGATTAAAATTTTAATGGCATGTCTTAGGATAATCCTCCCGGATTTTCCAGGATCATCGCGTTGTGTGGCAATAGTGCATAGGTAAATAAACTACGTTAAAATTGAAAGTAAATAGACTATTAACTATAATATATTTTTCTGTTTATTTAATTCTGTGACACAATAGATTTTATCATTGAAGATGCTACTAGAGACTACATTGGCAATTTCACGAAACACAATTATGTAGAAATTATAAGCAATAACACTTATCTGATAAAATCTTCTGTTAGTTTATTATGATTAAGGGTTTATGTCAATCACATTAACATGCATCATATAGAGATACGTTTTAAGAATAAGAAAATAATGAGAATTATATATGAGAATTATTAACTTACGTATCAAGACAAAATGCATTTTGTGTTTTATTTCTACTCGACACTTTTTTCAGAAAAAAAGATATAAAATGAAGTAATAGCATAACGGGATAAACTCATCATCTGAAAAGTAGTTAAATTAATTTCCACATTGATTTGTTGAAGTAGTATTTTGAAAAGTATTTTAATTTTGTCATATTTCGAAAAAAAAATATGCTACTCTTTGTTACAGTTCTTAACGTTTGAGGGAAAAACCTTCATATATTCCATCGTGCTTATAATGAGTGATATCTGAAGTTAGATTTAAGTGAAAAATTGATTTTCAAACGCCCATCCAGAATGCACTGATTTGAATATATGGACGACTTTTAAAATTCTTAGCTGACAGTTTAAATTTGTTGACTCTAGGCATAACTGGTTCTGAAATTGACACACAGTTGACATCAGACACACGCACACTTTTCTCTTTATTACTATACACTGCTTCGAATTTCGTGGCAAAAATGGTTAAATAGCGGTTTATTTCATTGATATTTCCCCATATACAATCAAAACAGTCAAATAACAATAATAAGATGATATTCAAAATGTTAAGAGTCGGAAAAAAAAGCTTATTGTTAGTTTTTTTTCCTAATACCCTTAACAACCAGAATTGTATCCGCACCAACTAGGACCCACCTAATGAGGTCATTTTGTTCTGAGCTGCTGTGTACATACAGGGGCAGAGACCTAATAGATGACAATCTAATATCTGCCAGTTTCATAATCGGCTGACTAGGGTTTCGAAACTCATCGTTGTTGCTACCATATTTCTTTCAAACCTTCTATACGTTAAGAGTTTTGAGTGTTCTGGACTCTTCAAACGTTGACCTTGGGTTAATAGAATACTGAATTATTTTTCAGGCATAAATGGGGCAGTAACCACAAAGTTCTAATTCCCATTTAAGTTTAATTTTAATGGTTTAAAAACTATGCTAGTTGTAAACAGTAACAAAACCGAAACAGTTTTCTTTTTACGGCTTTTAAACCATACCAGTTGTAATCGGTTTCAAAACCATAATGGCAAGAAAAACTTGTTCCTAAACATAAACTTTATGGTTAATCGGATGACAGACTGCTGCCGTTCATTTTATTGTAATTTGAGAATGAAAACTCTTACAGTTTAAACGTCATATATACTTTTAATTTAAACGTAACCTTCATATTTGTTTTAGATGTAAGATTTACTTAATGTGTCAAACGCAATTTCTATTAATTATAAATTTTTCATGACGGTTTAGAAATGTCTACAACTCCCGGTAAGTTTTACTTAACATCTAACACTGATTTTCATTAATCTAAATTTTCATATTTTGTCTAACAATTAAAATCTTTATGTTTGTTTTAGATGTAAGATTTATTTAATGTGTTAAGCGCAATTCCTATTAATTATAACATTTTCTTGACGGTTTAGAAATGTCTACAACACCCGGTAAGTTTTATTTAACATCTGATACTTATTTTCATTAGTCTGAGTTTTCATATCTTGTCTAACAATTAAAAAATATTTTCTAACTGATTGAAAAAACATAAATCATTTTCCTGTTTATGTAAGAATGTGTACAATTCATTTTTAATAGAAAGCCTAATTTTGTTTTGATTAAAGCCATAGTGAAGTTTAATTAATAACAAAGTCAATAGTAATCACAATATAAATATAAAAATATGAAAGTTTATTAATCTAAGTAATGAGCTACATGAAGAAGAAAAAAATATAAAATATTGAAACTAGTCGTTATTCTCTTGCTTAAAATTTGTGTGAAAGATTAATATAATTTTTGAATAAGGAAATTATATAAGGATAGCCAGCGTAATATTTGTTTACAGATTGTAGAAGAGTTGAATTTCGAGAGAATGTGAAAAACTTATAAATATAGCACTATATCTCATTCACAATAACATGTCTTTTTAAATAAGACAATAAGTTATAACAGTTTTTTTCAATTTTTCAAAGAAGCCGTAATTATTATTTTCAATTTTAAAATATCAGAAGAGACATTTGCAGTATTAATCATTTTTTAACTTTAAACCATATTATAAACATTTAAAATCATGTAGGAAGTATTTGTTATCTTTTTTTCTCTAAGTTTCTTTAAAAACTCTTTCTTTTAAATTATAATGTTCACCTATATTTTTTCTTCTATTTTATAGAAATGTCAACTACACCCGGTAAGCATGAAAAAAATATTATATTTTTGCATCTTTTGTAAATATATTACTGCACCAGAAATACGACTTTTAATAGCATCTGATATAAGGAAAACTTGAAAAGTGCAGATATCTTGAGTCCTGAAAAACTTGTTAATAATTATTGAAATATTATGATTAAATATCTCTCAGATTACGCTTCCAATTTAATTCCCTTTTAGTTTGAATGACTAAGACTGACTTAATTTGAATTTATCCTAATACTATAATTTTACTCTATAAATTGATTTTTTTAAGAGTCAGCAAAACATTTCGTTATGGAAAATCAAATCTCTAGAAATAATAAAATTAATAATAAAATCTTTCATTTTTAATTGAAAAATTCTAAGGAATAATTAAAATTTGAAAAGTTTTATTTAAATAAATCATTTATTGTTAATGCTTAAAAATTTTTACTTCGCGAGAAATCGTAAATATGTTTCATTTGAACTTTTCATAGATTCAAAAAATATTTTGAAGGCATATTATCAGATTTTAAAACATTTTTATGTGACACCTCGGTTAAACGGACATTCTTGGGACAAAAAAATGTCCTCTTATGAGAGTTGTCTGTTTACGAGAAGGGTACCCTAATAGCGAAGTTCATCACCATAAGTTGTTTTTTGAATATTTTCAAAGTTTTAGATAAAATTATCTACAAAGATTGTCATTTAAATTTTAAAAAATATTTTTTTATAAGAACTAATGAAAAAAAAGTTTGATATAAATATATAATTCGGATCATCGGGCTACCAAAGGAGGGGAGATATCCCCTCGCACAGGATTAAAATTTTAATCTCATGTCATCGAATAATCATCCCGGATTTTCCAGGATCATCACGTTATGTGCCAATAGTGCATAGGTAAATAAACTACGATATAGTTGTAAATAAATAGACTAAGACTTCTGATATATTTTTCTGTTCATTTAATTCTGTTACACGATATATTTTATCACAATCAATGGAGATGCTACTAGAAACTACATTGATAGGTTCATGAAAAACAATTATGTAGAATTTATAAGCAATAATACTTATCTCATAAAATCTTCTGCTAGTTTATTATGTTTTAAGGTTCATGTCAATCACATTAACACGTTTTAAGAATAATAAAATAATGAGAATTATATATATTTTAATTAAATTGCTTATTTACTTAAGTGTAAAGACAAAATGCATTTTGTGTTTTATTACTACTCGACAATTTTTTAAGAAAAAAACCTATAGATATAAAGTAAAATAAAACAATAAAGATATAATCTCGTCATCTAAGAAGTAGTTAAGTTCATTTCCACAGTGATTTGTTGCAGTAGTATGACGAAAAGTATTTTAATTTCGTCATATTTTGAAAACGAAATATGCTACTCTTTCTTACAGTTCTCAACGTTTGATGAAAAAACCCTCATATATTATTTCGTGCTTATAATGAGTGATATCTGATGTTAGATCTAAGTGATAAATTGATTATCAAACGCTCCTCTAGAATGCACTGATTCAAATTTATGGACGACTTTTAAATTTCTTAGCTGACAGTTTAAATTTGTTGACTCTAGGCATAACTGGTTCTGAAATTGACTCACAGTTAACACCAGGCACACACAAACTTTTCTTTTTATTACTATACACTGATTCAAATTTCGCGGCAAAAATGGTTAAATAACTATTTATTTCATTGTTATTTCCAAATATACAACCAAAACAGTCAAATAACCATAAGATGATGATATTCAAAATGTTAAGAGTCGGGAAAAAAAACGTATTGATAGTTTTTTCTTTAATCCGTTCAACAACCAGAATTGTATCCGCGCCAACTAGGAAACAACTTATAAACTCATTTTGATCTGCGCAGCTATGTACATACAAGGGCTGAAAGCTAATGGGTGACAATCTCAGCTGTTAGTTTCATAATCAGCTGATCAGGGGTTCGAATCTCAGCGCTGATGCTGCCACATTTCTTTCATACCTTCAATACATTAGGAGTTTTGAGTGCTCTAGACGCTTCAAACGTTGACCTAGGGCGAATAGAATACAAAATTATTATTCAGGAAGATTATATACGAAATTATTATTCCTCATTTAAGTTTAATTTTAATGGTTTAAAAACTATGCTAGTTGTAAACGGTAACAAAACCGAAACAGTTTTCTTTTCACTGTTTTTTAACCAGACCAGATGTAAACGGTTTCAAAACCATAACAGTAAAAAAAAACATGTTCCTAAACATAAATTGTATGGTTAATCGGATGGACAGACTGCTGCTGTTCATTTTACTGTAATTTGAGATTAAAAACTCTTACAGTGTAGATGTAAAATATAATTTTATTTTAAACGTAACCTTTATATTTGTATTAGATGTAAGATTTACACACAATTCCTATTAATTATAACATTTTCTTGGCGGTTTAGAAATGTCCACAACACCCGGTAAGTTTTATTGAACATCTAACACTTATTTTCATTAATCTTAATTTTCATAATTTGTCTAACAATTAAAAAATATTTCCTAACTGATTGAAAAACATAAATCATTTTCCTGTTTTTGTAAGAATGTCTACAATTCATTTTCGATAGAAAACCAATTTTTTTAATTAAAGCTATAGTGAAGTCGATTTAATTACAAAGTCAATATTAATCGCAATGAAAATATACACATTTAAAAGTTTATTAATATACGTAATGAGCAACATGAAGAAAAAAATATTATATCGATTATTATAGCTAGTCGTTATTTTCTTGCTAAAAATTTGTGTTAAAATATTAATATAATTTTTAAATAAGGAAATTAAATGAGGATAGCCAGCGTTATATTTGTTTACAGAGAGTAGAAGAGTTGAATTTCAAGAGAAAGTGTAAAACTTTTAAATATCGCACTATATCTCATTCACAATATCATGTTTTTAAATAAGACATTAACTTTTAACAGTTTTTTTCTTAATTTTTTAAAGAAGCCGTAATTATTATTTTTAATTTTGAAATATCAGAAGAAACATTTGCAATATTAATCTTTCTTATTTTGAACCACTTTCTAAACATTCAAAATCATGTGGGAAGTATTAGTTATCCAATTTCTTAAAAAACTATTTCTGGCAAAATATAATGTTCATACCTTTTTTTTCTCTATTTTATAGAAATGTCAACTACACCCGGTAAGCATGAAAAAAATATTACATTTTCGCATCTTTTGTAAATAGATTACTGTACCAGAAATACGACTTTTAATGGCATCTTATATAATGAAAACTTGAAAAGTGCAGATATCTTGAGTCCTGAAAAACCTGTTCATAACTATTGCAAATATTATAACTAAATTTTTTTTTAGATTACGCTTCCAATAGAATTCGAACTTAGCTTGAATGACTTAGACTGCCTTAGTTTGAATTTATCATAATACTATAATTTTATTCTTTAAATTGATTTTTTTAAGAGTCAGCAAAATATTTCATTATTGAAAATCAAATCTCTAGTAATAATAAAATTAATAATAAAATCTTTAATTTTTAATTGAAAAATTCTAAAGAATAATTAAAATTTGAATAGTTTTATTTAAATAAAGCATTTATTGCCAATGCTTAAAAGTTTTTGTTTCACGAGAAAGCGTAAATATTTATCATTTGAACTTTTCATAGAATCAAAAAATTTTTTTGAAGATATCATATCATATTTTAAAACATTTTTATGTGAAACCTCGGTTAAACGGACATTCTTGGGACAAAACAATGTCCTCTTATGAGAGTTGTCCGTTCACAGGAAGGATACTCTGATAACGAAGTTTATCACCATAAGTTGTTTTTTTTAATATTTTCAAAGATATAGATCAAATTACTTACAAGGATAGTTATTTAAACATTAAAAAAATATTTTATTTATAAGAAATAATGTATAAAAAAGTTTGATATAAATATATAATTCGGATCATCGAGCTACCAAAGAAGGGCTACCCTCGCGCAGGATTAAAATTTTAATGGCATGTCTTCGGATAATCCTCCCGGATTTTTAGGATTTAGTGCATAGGTAAAAAAAACTACGTAAAGTTGTAAGTAAATAAGCTATGACCTCTACTATATTTTTCTGTTCATTTAATTCTGTCACACGGTAGATTTTATCACAATCAATGAAGATGCTACTAGAAACTACATTGATAGTTTCACGAAAAACAATTATGTAGAAATCATAAGTAATAACTCTTATCTGATAAAATCTTCGGTTAGTTTATTATGTTTAAAGGTTCATGTCAATCACATTAACGTGCATTATATAGAGATACGTTTTAAGTATAAGAAAATAATGAGAATTATGTATTTTTTAATTAAATTGCTTGTCAACTTACGTGTCAAGAAAAAATGCATTTTTTTTATTACTACTCGACCCTTTTTTAAGAAAAAACCTCCGGATAAAAAATAAAATAAAAGCATAAAGATATAAACTCGTCATCTAAGAAGTAGTTGAATCCAATTCCACAGTGATTTGTTGAAGTAGTATGACGAAAAGTATTTTAATTTTGTCACATTTTGAAAAAGAAATATGCTACTCTTTGTTACTGTTCTTAATGTTTGAGGGAAAGACCTTCATATATTCAATTGTGCTTATAATGAGTGATATCTGTTATTAGATTTAAGTGAAAAATTAATTTTCAAACGCCCCTGTAGAATGCACTGATTCATATTTATGGACTACTTTTAAAAGTCTTAGCTGACAGTTTAAATTTGTTGACTCTAGGCATAACTGGTTCTGAAATTGACACACAGTTAACATCTGCCAAACGCAAACGTTTCTTTTTATTACTATAAACTGTTTCAAATTTCGCGGCAAAAATGGTTAAATAACTATTTATTTCATTGTTATTTCCCCATATACAACCAAAACAGTCAAATAACCATAAGAAGATGATATTAAAAATGTTAAGAGTCGGAAAAAAAAAATTATTGATATATTTTTCCTAATACTGTTTAAGAATCAGAATTGTTTCGCACCCGCTGGGACCCACCTTATGAACCCATTTTGATCTGCGCAGCTGTGTACTTACAGGGGCAGAAAGCTAATCGGCGACAATTTCACCTGTCGATTTCATAATCAGCTGAACAGGGGTCCGAATCTCAGCGTTGATGCCACCATATTTCTCTCATACCTTCTATACAATAAGAGTTTTAAGTGTTCCGGACTCTTCAAACTTTGACCTTGGGCTAATGGAATACGAAATTATTATCCAGGCATAAATGGGGTAGTAACCACAAAGTTCTAATTCTCATTTAATTTTAATTTTAATGGTTTAAAAATTATGCTAGTTGTAAACGGTAACAAAACCGAAACAGTTTTCTTTTCACGGTTTCTTAACCATACCAGTTGTAAATGGTTTCAAAACCATAACGGTTAAAAAAACAGGTTCCTGAGCATAAACTTTATGGTTAATCGGATGGACAGACTGCTGCTGTTCATTTTACTGTAATTTGAGAATAAAAACTCTTACAGAGTAGATGTAATATATACTTTTATTTTAAACGTATCATCGATATTTGTTTTTGATATAAGATTTATTTAATGTGTTGAACGCAATTTCTATTAATCATAAATTTTTCATGACGGTTTAGAAATGTCTACAACTCCCGGTAAGTTTTATTTGGCATCTAACACTTATTTTCATCAATATGAATTTTCATATTTGGTCTAACAATAAAAAAGAATATTTCCTAACTGATTGAAATATCATAAATCATTTTCCTGTTATTTAAGAATGCTTACAATTCCGTTCATTTTTCTGTAATTTTAGTATGAAAACTCTTACAGTGTAGACGTAATATATACTTTTATTTTAAACGTAACCATTATATTTGTTTTAGATGTAAGATTTACTTAATGTGCTAAACACAATTTCTGTTAATTCTAACATTTTCTTGACTGTTTAGAAATGTCTACCACACCCGGTAAGTTTTATTTAACATCTAAAACTTATTTTCATTAGTCTGAATTTTCATATTTTGTCTCACAATTAAAACCTCTATATTTGTTTTAGATGTAAGATTTGTTTAATGTGTTAAACGCAATTTTTATTAATTATAAATTTTTCATGGTTGTTTAGAAATGTCTACAACTCCCGGTAAGTCTTATTTAACATCTAACACTTATTTTCATTAATCTAAATTTTCATATTTTGTCGAACAATGAAAAGAAAAAGTATTTCCAAAATGATTGAAATAACATAAATCATTTTCCAGTTTTAGTAAGAATGTGCACAATTCATTTTTAATAGAAAACCTAATTTTTTTAATTATATCCATATTGAAGTCGAATTTCCCTATTAATCGCAATAAAAATATACAAATTTAAAAGTTTATTAATCTAAGTAATAAGCAACTTGAGAAAGAAAAATTTTGTAAAATAGTCTTTATTTTCTTTCTTAAAATTTGTGTTAAAAGATTAATGTAATTTTTCAATAAGGAAATTAAATAAAGTTCGCAAAGCATTATGTTTGTTTGCAGAGAGTAGAAGAAAACTATTAAGAGAGTTAAGAAAATGTGTAAATCTTTTAAATATCGCATTATATGACATGTTTTTTAAATAAGGCATTAAGTTTTAACAGTTTTTTTAAATTTCTTTTAAAGAAGCCGTAAATATTATTTTTTGTTTTAAAAATATCAGAATAAACATTTGCAATATTAATCTTTCTTATTTTAAACCCTTCTCTGAACGTTATAAATCATAAGGGAAGTATTAACTATCCTATTCTTTCTAAGTTTCGTTAAAAACTATTTCTGGTAAATTATAATGTTGACATCTTTTTTTTCTATTTTATAGAAATGTCAACTACACCCGGTAAGCATGAGAAAAAATATTCCGCTTTCACATCTCTTATAAACATATTACTGTGCAAGAATACGACTTTTAATGGGGTCTAATGTAAGGAAAATTGAAAAGTGCGGAAATCTTGAGTCCTGAAATCCCCATGTTTATAATTATTGTAAATATTATAATTAAATATCTTTTAGATTACGCTGCCAATTTAATTACGAACTTAGTTTGAACGACTTAGACAGACTTAGTTTTAATTTCACATAATACTATATTTTTACTCTTTAAATTGACTTTTTTAAGAGTCAGAAATACATTTCATTATTGAAAATCAAATCTCTAGTAGTAATAAAATTAATAATAAAATCATTAATTTTTAATTGAAAAATTGTAAGGAATAATTAAAATTTGAAAAGTTTTATTTAAAAAAATCATTTATTGCTAATGCTTAAAATTTTTTGCTTTGCGAGAAAGAGTAAATATTTATCATTTGAACTTTTCATAGATTCAAAATTTTTTGAAGGTATTATATCATATTTTAAAACATTTTTATGTGACACCTCGGCTAAACGGACATTCTTGGGACAAAAAAATGTCCTCTTATGAGAGTTGTCCGTTTACAGGAAGGATACTCTAATAACGAAGTTAATCACCATAAGTTGTTTTTCTGAATATTTTCAAAGATATAGATAAAATTATTTACAAGGATAGTTATTTAAACTTTAAAAAATATTTTATTTATAAGAAATAATGTATATAAAAGTTTGATATAATTATATAATTCGGATCATCGAGCTACCAAAGGAGAGGCAGAGACCTAATACATGACAATCTAATCTGCCAGTTTCATAATCGGCTGACTAGGGGTTCGAAAATCAGCGTACCATATTTCTTTCATACCTTCAATACATTATCAGTTTTGAATGTTCTGCACTCTTCAAACGTTGACCATGGGCTAATAGAATACGAAATTACTATTCAGGCATAAATGGGGTAGTAACCACAGAGTTCTAATTTCCATTTAAGTTTCGTTTTAATGGTTCAAGAACTATGCTAGTTGTAAACGGTAACAAAACCGCACAGTTTTCTTTTTGCGGTTTTTTAACCATACCTGTTGTAAACTGCGCAAGTATAATGTTAAAAAAAAACATGTTCCTAACCATAATTTTTATGGTTAATCAGATGGACAGACTGTGCCGTGATTTGACCGTGATTCATTTTACCGTGATTTGAGAATAAAAACTCTTTCCAGTGTAGATGTAATATATATTTTTTATTATTTTAAACGTTATCTTTATATTTGTTTCAAATGTAAGAATTATTTAAAATGTTAAACACAATTTTTACTAATTATAAATTTTTAATGACGGTTTAGAAATGTCTACAACTCCCGGTAAGTTTTATTTCATTTACACTTATTTTCATTGGTCTGAATTTTCTTATTTTGTCTAACAATTAAAAAGTTTATGTTTGTTTTAGATGTAAGATTTATTTAATGTGTCAAACGCAATTTCTATTAATTATAAATTTTTCATGACGGTTTAGAAATGTCTACAACTCCCGGTAAATTTTATTTAACATCTAACATTTATTTTCATTAATCTAAATTTTCATATTTTGTCTAACAATAAAAAAATATATTTCCTAACTGATTGAAATATCACAAATCAATTTCCTGTTTTTTGTAAGAATGCCTACAATTCCGTTCATTTTACTGTAATTTGAGTATGAAAACTCTTACAGTGTAGAAGTAATATATACTTTTAATTTAAACGTAACCTTCATATTTGTTTTAGATGTAAGACTTACTTAATGTGCTAAACACAATTCCTATTAATCATAACATTTCCTTGACTTTTTAGAAATGTCTACAACACCCGGTAAGTTTTATTTAACATCTGACACTTATTTTCATTAGCATAAATTTTCACATTTTGTCTAACAATTAAAATCTTTATGTTTGTTTTAGATGTAAGGTTTATTTAATGTGCTAAACGCAATTTATAATAATTATAAATTTTTCATGATGTTTAGAAATGTCTACAACTCCCGGTAAGCTTTATTTAACATCTAACCCTTATTTTCATTAATCTGAATTTTCATATTTTGTCGAACAAAAAAATATATTTCCTAACTGATTGAAATAACATAAATAATTTTCCTGTTTTTGTAAGAATGTCTACCATTCCGTTTATTTTACAATAATTTGAGTATGAAAACTCTTACAATGTAGACGTAATATATACTTATAACTTAAACGTAACCTTCATATTTGTTTTAGATGTAAGATTTACTTAATGTGCTAAACACAATTCCTATTAATTATAACATTTCCTTGACTTTTTAGAAATGTCTACAACACCCGGTAAGTTTTATTTAACATCTGACACTTATTTTCATTAGCCTAAATTTTCATATTTTGTCTAACAATTAAAATCTTTATGTTTGTTTTAGATGTAAGATTTATTTAATGTGTTAAACGCAATTTCTATTAATTATAAATTTCTCTTGATGGTTTAGAAATGTCTACAACTCCCGGTAAGTTTTTTTTAACATCTAACACTTATTTTCATTAGTGTGAATTTTCATATTTTGTCTCACAATTAAAACCTTTATATTTGTTTTAGGTGTAAGGTTTATTTAATGTGTTAAACGCAATTTATAATAATTATAAATTTTTCATGATTTTAGAAATGTCTACAACTCCCGGTAAGCTTTATTTAACATCTAACCCTTATTTTCATTAATCTGAATTTTCATATTTTGTCGAACAAAAAAAATATTTCCTAACTGATTGAAATAACATAAATCCTTTTCCTGTTTTTGTAAGAATGTCTACCATTCCGTTCATTTTACTATAATTTGAGTATGAAAACTCTTACAGTGTAGACGTAATATATACTTTTATTTTAAACGTAACCTTTATATTTGTTTTAGATGTAAGATTTACTTAATGTGCTAAACACAATTCCTATTACTTATAACATTTTCTTGACGGTTTAGAAATGTCTACAACACCCGGTAAGATTTATTTAACATTTAACACTTATTTTCTTTAGTCTGAATTTTCATATTTTGTCTAACAACTAAAACCTTTATAATGGGTTTAGATGTAAGATTTATTTAATGTGTTAAACGCAATTTCTATTAATTATAAATTTTTCATGACGGTTTAGAAATGTCTACAACTCCCGGTAAGTTTTATTTAACATCTAACACTTATTTTCATTAATCTAAGTTTTCATATTTTGTCTAAAAATAAAAAAATATATTTTCTAACTGATTGAAATAACATAAATCGATTTCCTGTTTTTGTAAGAATGCCTACAATTATTTTTTAATAGAAAACCTAATTTCTTTAATTATATTAAAATTGAAGTCCAATTTCACTCTTACTCGCAGTAAAAATATACAAATTTAAAAGTTTATTAATCTAAGTAATAAGCAACATGAAGAAGAAAAATTATGTAAAATATAATAGCTAGTCGTTATTTTCTTGCTTAAAGTTTGAGTTAAAAGATTAATATAATTTTTAAATAAGGAAATTAAATAAAGATCGCAAAGCTTTATGTTTGTTTACAGAGAGTAGAAGAGTTGAATGTTAAGAAAATGTGTAAATATTTTAAATATCGCACTATATCTCATTCATAATAACATGTTTTTTAAATGAGGCATTAAGTTATAACAGTTTTTTTTAATTTTTTTTAAGAAGCCGTAAATATTATTTTTTATTTTTAAATATCGGAAGAAACATTTGCAACATTAATCTTTTTTCATTTTAAACCATTTTCTGAACATTCAAAATCATGTGGGAAGTATTAATTATCCTGTTTTTGCTAAGTTTCTTTAAAAATTACTTCTGGTAAATAATAATGTTCACATTTTTTTTCTATTTTATAGAAATGTCAACTACACCCGGTAAGCATGGGAAAAACTATTACGTTATCCCAAATTTTGTAAATATATTACTGTACAAGAAATACGACTTTTAAAGGGATCTAATATAAGGAAAGCTTTAAAAGTGCAGAAATTTTGAGTCCTGAAAAACCCATGTTTATAATTATTGTAAATATTATATTTAAATATCTTCTAGATTGCACTTCCAATTTAATTTGAACTTAGTTTGAACGACTTATACTGACTTTGTTTGAATTTCTTATAATACTATATTTTTACTCTTTTAGTTGATTTTTTTAAGCTTCAAAACAATATGCTTTAATAATGTAAAGTAGTTTCACTTCATGAAATCGGGAAATATATTTTTTGCTATTTTTTGTCACTTTTTGTTCGGAAATAATTAGTTAAATTTAAAATTAAGACTGTTTTTTTTTTATTTAAATTTAAAATAAAACGCTTATACAGTCAGTAAAATATACTGACTGTACAATAGTTTTGAGGAAACAAAAGTGTAATATATTCAATTTATTTTTATAAGCATTATCAGAACACTGTTTTTAATCAAAAATAGGATTCTGACAGTATTTAAGATTGAAACAAATACTATAAAAACGATGCTATGACAAAAAAAAACACTGAAATTAATTTTTATATAATTTTATAAAAACAAATTAATTAATTAAGTATAACGTTTAATAATAACAGTCAAACTTTACTAACAAATAAAATTAATTAATTAATTAATTTATCATAAAAGTTGTTGTTAATCTGCTTTAAAGTTGCCATTTTTTGATGTAATGTAGAAACAAAAAGGATTATTGAAATTTTTAGCAATGGCTCGCAAGTCTTCTACCTTTAATCTGTCTTGTGTGCAATGATTGTGTACAGATTAAACAAGTTATTTCACAATGCCGTTTTCCTGGCTAATGAACTCCAAAATAGCAGATACTTGACAGATCTTCTGCTTGACTGTGTAAAAATGTAAAAAAAAAACTAAATTACGATCTATGTTATAAAATATTTTATAATTATAGTAGAAGACAAAAATATATTAATGCTAATATAAAAAGAAATTAAATAAGATCTATGATGTGATACATTTGTCAAATCTTTTTGTTTTTGCTGCACCATGTGTATTTAAAGAAAATGCTTAATAATTCATTCTATAGCGATAATATGGACATTTTAAATTTAAACAAACATTTTATGGTCATTGCTACAGTTTTATTATGTTAAAAAGAACATCTACTCATAGGGAAGACATAAAACGATTCAAATAGAAAAAAAAACAACTTTTATTAATAATACCAATTATTTCAAAACGTTTTCTTAGAAACAGCGTTGACACAACATAATACAAATAATTTATTTCGCTTTAAAAAGAGTAATTAAGCTTTAATGCTTATTCAATAAATGTTGACAATATTTGTTTAAAATTTGATTAAAAGTGTAAGTGGTCTATTGTTTGTGTATCAAAGAAAATAAACTAAAAGTCCCTAAACTACAGTATTAGGAATTTTCGTTCATTAAATATAAGTTTCATATTTGCCATACTAAAAACTTAAATACAATATTAAATTATCTTTTTTTTCTTAATATTTCAGAAATGTCAACGACTCCTGGTAAGCACACTAAAAATGAATGTTCAAAACATTCAAACTTTTCTTTTCTTACTACGAAATCTATAACTACATTCAGAGAGAGTATTTTGTCAAATTGAGAAAATTCTTATCCTCACTTGGTCAAGGATATTAATTACGCATAAGTCAATTATAACTATGGAAATCGAATTGTTCTGGCTTATTCTGTATAATATTAGGAAACGTCAACAAAATTCACTGTATAATGCCCTGGCGTAAGAATTTCTTTTTAAAAAAATCTATAAAGTCAAAAATTCCTAAAATTTATCAAAATCAAAAATTCAATTATTAAGCATATCATAAATAAAAGAAGCAAGCGCGAAGGACTTCGCAGCCAATGCCAAGATATGAACCTGTGACACGTGACTTTCTTGAATTCTAACCATTCTAACAGCCCATCATATTGTGCAAATCACTTTAAAATCAAACAAAAAAAATATGCCGAGATTTCTCAGAACGAGATTAATGAGGATTCAATTTCACAATGAAGGAATATTCAAAAGTTCAAGTATCGCTGAACTTTGAAAAAGTTTACAATCAAATATAAGATTTTTTTTTTATCTTTATAGCTATTTAAATCTTTTATTATTGATGAATCTAAGAATAGCTTATTGTGTAAATTATTGTAGTATTTCAAATGTATTTGAATCTTTATTTAATTTTTAGAACAACCTTTTCACAAAATGACAATCACGTAATTTTATAAAGAAAATTTCTCCTTTCAATAAAAAATAATACACTAACTCATTTATTTTTTATGTGATGTCTACAGCTCTTGATGAGGATTCATTTTTAATCAATATCATAAACTTTTTAAGGAGTATTTTGGACGATTTGTAATAAGAACAATTACAGAAAATGTAGAAAAAATTAAATCATTATTAAGAAAATAAAGCAAAAATTGTAATGTACATACGTAATCATACGTAACCATATAATATTATGAAACAAACCTGGATTAAAAACTTTTTGAAAAAAATATTTTTTTGAAATTCTATAGAATTATAAAAACGTATAAATCTACTAAAACCAAAAATTGTGTGAGGTTACGTATGCATCAATTTTAAATAAAACAAACAAACAATATATTTGAAAATAAAGGCCTGTAATATCCTCTAGCATTTTTTCCCTTCACTTTTCATTAATCTCTACCAACCTTTGTTTAAAAAACACACTCAACATAAATAAACATGATTTCAACATTTTAATCGAGCTTTATTTAAACTGTAGAAGCAAATTATTATAATGAATATTTAAAAACGCTAAACTCTTAAAAGTTGCTAAAACTCTTAACACTCTGAATACATTTCTTATTAAAATATATAAATGATACATAAGTCAGGTATCATTTCTTCCTTCAAATAAATAAGATACATAAAATCAAATCCACTAATTTTCTTTCGAAAGTATTAACTTGCTTACATAATTATTTACGTTTGACCTTTGTACATATGCGTCAATTGCCAACCTATTTTTATTATATTAGTGTAAGCAAGCTATTAAAATGCAAGCCTTTTTTTTAGAAATGTCTACAACTCCAGATAACACTATTTTACGTATACTTGCTATCACAAATGTATTGGTTTATTTCAGTTTTGAACGTATTGTTATACATTTTGAAACTAAATACAAATAAATCAATTTCTTTCAAAATAGGTTCATGTATATTTTAAATATCTTAGTATTTATAAAGTATAAGTAAAGCATCTTAAATATATTTTCTGAAATGCACCCGAACTATTTTTTCTTAATTACAGCAAGATCTGTATAGAAATATAAATAAACCCTCATCTCAAATAGGGTTGTTTTTTCTGACTAATCCTATCTGTAATGAAATAATTAGGCTTCATATTTAAAATTTCAAAGTTGCCTCTCACTCTACTAAAAGTTCTCGAATACCATTGCATACCTTTTAAAAATATTGTATGTGACTTTTTTCACTTTTTTAATCTGAAATATATTTCTTGAGTTATTTGACCACTTCCAAACTATTTTCACATGCTGTATGATATACTAATATATGATAGCTCACGATCCATAATTTTCTAATTACCGTCAGATTATAAAAAAACTACAAGCTCTCTTACCTGATGTGTTTTGCGAAAATGTGACATGTGGTAGATATAAAATTATTAAATGTATTAATGGTAATAGTTACAATTAGCCCTACATATTGTTATACATTATTAGACATACGAAATATACAGTGTGCAAAGTAAAAAAAAAACTAAAACCCCTAAATATTTTTATCTAAAATTCGGATTTTACATTTATCACTCAATCTTAAGTATCTGAGAGCAAAACTTTGAATGTATTAAGTTTAATAAAGTTGTGCATATGAATCACAGACAAAAACTCAGACACAAATCAGAAAAAGGAGCTTGTATCACAAAAGGAACTTATCCTGAATAAACATACCTTTTTTTGATGGATTCGGGATCTTCGCCCTCAAAACGTGAGGGGCTTACAGCTGAGATTTACATGACATACTTCCAAAAACTTTTTGAACAGAAATATTAATTTAGTTCGTAAAAAATAAAAATTTAAAAATACAATTTCTTTGAGATGGGAAAATATGAAAAAAGTTAAATGAACATCACGAGTTAAAAATTTCAAACCTTTTTCGTGCCTAAACTTTTGGGAGAATGATTTCCAGGTTGCGACTACCTTTCATATTTTACGAGTCAAACTGAACCAGGGGAAAAATAGGTATGATGAACAAAAGACACGACGTTAGCTAAAAATATATATTGCGTTAATATTTATTTAAATTTAAGATTAGACACTCCAAATGTTTAGATTGCGACCTGCTAAGTTGGAATCCTATTTTTTTTTTATCAAAAGTTATTGAGCAAGGGCAATTTTTTTATTTTGCGCGATGTGTAATCCTTCTGCTTTGTAGAAGGTTTTGCTTGGTAAAAGTTATTTTCTTTCCTAAATTAAGGCGGATTGCATAAAATATAGCTTCTGAATGAAAAAAACATAATTGTGTTGATTCTGAATTTCATACTAAAATCATTTTTTTATATGAAATTAGTATATATTTTTTCCCCTTTTACTTTTATAAACTTTCTATACTTCTTTCTCCGTTAAAAATAAAGTGAAGTTATAACTAAAATGAATTTATTCGCATTGATAATCATGAATGCGACTTTAGTTTCTTATAAGAAAAATTGATTTTTTATAAATTCTTTAAAATTTTAAATTTTTAGTCTTAAATTTCAAAAAAATCCACAATTCTTAATTAGTAATATTTTTAATGAGCTTCTTTCCTCTGATTCTTTCTTTATTTTAAACATCTATTTTTCGATATTCTTTTTAATTTTTATTAAATGTTTCAACTCTAAAGGAACAAGAAAATAATTTCAAATCATAAGATCCTTATATACAGAAATACCTCTCTTACTCTTTTTATATAATAAATTCAATTGTTTTGTGTATTTTGTTTACAAATGAAGAACCTTAAAATAATGGTTTAAAAAAATAAATGATTTGTTTATAATTAAGACTTAAATTTCATATAAATAGTTTTTTTTATAAATTATTTGGGATTTTGAATTTCCAATCTAAAATTTCAGAAAAGTCCACAACTCCAATTAAGTACTGATTTAAACGTTGATAATTTTTCCAGATTATTTCTTTACTTTGAACTACTATTTTTTATATATTCCTTTAAAATTTAATCTCTTATTGTTTCAACTTCAAGGAAAACTAAAAAATAGTTTAAAACCATGAAATTGTCATGAGCAAAAAATCCTCTTTCATTATCTTTTAGAAATTAACTAAAAGCATTAAAATATGTTTTATATGAAGAAAACCTTATATTAATTAAAAAGTGATTAATCTGATGCTTAACTTGCTTTCAAATAAAATCGAAATTTTAAAAATTATTTTTAATTTTCAATTTTCATTCCCAATTTCCATTCATTCCACAACTAATGTTTCAGAAAAGTCAACAACTCCTGGTTAGTATTAATTTCAATGATATTCCTTTTTTCTGCTTTTTCATTTTCTTTAACCTTCTTTTATCTATATTTTTTTTTCAAATTCTGCTTTTTAATGTTTCAATTGATTTTTTTATGATTTACGATATTATACCTTCGATCTAAAATTTCAGAAAAGTCAACAACTCCTGGTTAGTATCAACCTCAATGATGATTCTTTACCCAATTTCTTTAATTCCTTTAACCAACTTTTATTTAAATTCTTTGGAAAATTCATTTTTCAATGTTTTATAAATTTTTACGAACTATGTAATATCTTAAATTTTCTATCTAAACTTTCAGAAAAGTCCACAACTCCAGGTCAGTATCAATTTTAATGATGATGAATCATCCAGAATCCTTACTACCTATAACCATATTTTACCGATATTCGATTTAAGCTTTGTTTTTCAATGTTTCAAATGATTCTTGAGAAATTACATAAATTAAATTTTAAATTTTAAATTTCAGAAAAGTCCACAACTCCTGGTTAGTATCAATTTTAATGCTCTATAATCACTCAGCTTTCTGACTTCCTTTAACCATCTTTTATTGATTATTCCTTTAAAAAAAATTTTCAATGTTTCATTTGATTTTTGTGAACTATCTTACATTTTTAATTTCAAATTTCAGAAAAATCTACAACTCCTGGTTAGTATTAATTTCAATGATGATTCTATTCTTAACTTCATGACTCCCTTTAACTATTGATATTCTTTTGAAATTTTGTTTTTAAATGTTATAATTACTTTTTTATGAATTATTTATCATCTTAAATTTGCAATTTAAAATTTCAGAAAAGTCTACAACTCCTGGTTAGTATCAATTTTAGCGATTATTTATCTACCACCTTCCTTACCTCCTTTAACCATCTTTTATTTATATTCTTTTGAAATTCTATTTTTTAACATTTTAATTATTTTTAACGATATAAATATGATCCTAAATTTTTAATCTAAAATTTCAGAAAAGTCTACAACTCCTTTTTAGTATCAATTTTAACGATTATTTATCTACCACCTTCCTTACTTCCTTTAGCCATCTTTTAGTTATGTATTTTCTGGAAATTTAATTTTTCTATGTTGTAATCATTTTTAACGAATTAAATATTATACTAAATTTTTAATCTAAAATTTCAGAAAAGTCTACAACTCCTGGTTAGTATAAATTTTAACGATTATTTATCTACCACCTTCCTTACTTCCTTTAACCATCTTTTATTGACATGCCCTTTAAATTTGACTTTTCAATGTTCAATTTAATGTTTTAAATGTTCAATTTAAAATTTCAGAAAAGTCCACAACGCCTGGTTAGTATCAATTTTAATGATTTTCAATTACTCAGCTTCCTTACTTCCTTATTGATTATTCTTTTTAAATTTTGTTCGATGTTTCATTTGATTTTTGTTAACTATCTTATATTTTCCATTTAAAATTTCAGAAAAGTCTACAACTCCTGGTTAGTATCAATTTAAATGATGATTATATTCTTAACTTCTTGATTCCCTTTAGCTATTGATACTCTTTTGAAATTTTGTTTTTCAATGTTGTAATTAATTTTTATGAATTATTTACCATCTTAAATTTTCAATTTAAAATGTCAAAAAAGTCTACCACCCCTGGTTAGTATTCAATTTAATGATGATTCATTCCCCAGCTTCTTAACTTCTTATTACCATCTTTTATTTATTTTCTTTTGAAATTTAATTTTTCAATGTTGTAATTATTATTAAGAAATTAAATATGATCCTAAATTTTAAATCTAAAATTTCAGAAAAATCTACAACTCCTGGTTAGTATCAATTTTAAAAATTTTTAAATTTCCCAGCTTCCTTACTTCCTTTAACCATCTTTTATTGACATTCCTTTTAAATTTTACGATTATTTATCTACCAGCTTCCTTACTTCCTTTAACCATCTCTTATTGATTATTCTTTTTAAATTTTGTCTTTCAATGTTTCATTTGTTTTTTGTAACTATCTTAAATTTTCAATTCAAAATTTCAGAAAAGTCTACAACTCCTGGTTAGTATTAATTTCAATGATGATTCTATTCTTAACTTCCTGACTCCCTTTAACTATTGATTTTTTTTAAATTTTGTTTTTCAATGTTTCAATTGTTTTTTATGAATTATTAACGATCTTAAATTTTAAAATTAAAATTTCAGAAAAGTCTACAACTCCTGGTTAGTATTAATTTGAATGATAATCCATTACCCAGCTTCTTTACTTCTTTTATTTATATTCTTTTGAAATTTTATTTACCAATGTTTTATTTTATTTTCCAATGTTTTATTTTATCTACCAATGTTTTATTTTATTTTCCAATGTTTTATTTCATCTACCAATGTTTTATTTTTTTATTAACTTAATTTTTTTCTTGAATAAGTGTTATTTAATACAACTTCAGTATCTTAAAAATGATTTTGATTTTTTTTTAATTATTCACGTTTTTAAATTTTTTATCTTAAAACTCCGAAAATTACACTACCCCGGTTTGATATTAGTTTAAATGAGGGTTCTTTCCTAAGCTTCATTTTATTCCTTGATCTTTTTTCTCAAGATTACCTTTTGAAATTTTGTTTTTAAATGTTCGCCAAAAAAAAATAATAAAACAGTTTCAAACCATAAAATTCAAATATACAGGTCCCGCTG